ATCATATTTATGGTGTGCTATTGCTGGTTTTAAATGTTCATGCTCAATTTATCAAATTTGAAATCATACTTTATGCCAACAGTTATATCTATTTCTATGTAAATATACATATTACATAGATGTATAATATAGATACATATTGTATACAGATACACCAATAATTTATACCCATCGTATTATATATATTTAATTTAAAAATCTATATAATATGTCCATATATTTATTATTTTTGTAGCATGTGTTCCTTTTATTTCTGAGCAGAACAGAGGCTCTCTGAGTAAAGTCTGTGGACATTTGTTGACTCTCCCTCTTTGGCTCCAAAAGGGTCCTGGCATCTCAGGACCAGTAAGGACAGAGCTGAGGAGCCAGCCCCAGGAGCCCAGGCCCAGCCCTAAGGCTCTGGTCTCAGAGACATTCATCCTGACCTCGGGCTCTGGGCTTGGTGTGGCACCCATGGGTGTGTGAGCAGTTTCCTTCTCTGAAGCCCTTCCATGCAGCCCCGTGGATAGGGCCTGTGGTTTCCCCCACGTCCTCAGCCCCATGGTTCAGGAGAGAAGCTGCTACTGCCACAGACCAGGGCCAGTGCCCAGCAGCTTGGGTAATGCAAACCTTAGTCCTGGATTGAGGACCCTATGCCAAATATCTCCCCCATTTATTCTAGTACCTGAAAGTCTGTCCTGGTCTTAATTGCACAGGCCGCATTTCATTAACTACAGAAGCCAACACTGTCAACTGAAAAATTAGAAATTTGACTTCACTGTCATCCTCAGGGTCTGGCCCACTCCAATCTCACCAGATAAAGAGGCCCTTGGACTTTCTCTTTCCCATGCAACCTAACTTAGATACATAGTGAAATAGAAACATCACAAAACTCTTGGCACCTACACAGCAGCTGTCCCCTCTCCTTGGGTGTATAAGGGACCAGCTTCATCCTGCTGCACATGGCAAGGACAGTGAACAGGAGCAGGGATTGGGGCACATGAGATCAACTCCACAATGAGACGTCAGAGGTGAGCAGTGGTTCAGGGAAGGACTTGGATCCCTCATAAAGGCAGAGAAGGTGAAGAGCTTTGTCCTGCATTTTTTTCCTGGAACAGGTATGTGTGCACATTGATACTTGGAGCCACTGCAGCCCTCTTAAGATCATGAGGTATTGAATCCAATACTGAAAAACTGAAGTGCAAAGCAGAAATGTAGCAAAATCCTGGGTACTTTCTGCTGTCACCAAGTTGCTGCCCCAACCCCAAATGTTCCAAACTTCAGACTTCTTATCTCTGCTGCAGTTATCGCTATCATTTCTTGTAATTACTTCTAAAATTATTTTAACTTATCCAGAAAAGATACTCAAGGGAAAGAGACTGGCTGGGTTCTTATTTGTGTTTATGGGGATCAAAGTCACACACACACACAAAAAAACAGGAAATCATAAAAAGTGATGTCTTCTCCTAACATCTTTGTCATTCTATGCCCATGGTTAGAGAAATCCAAACCACTTTGAAGAATGTATAAATCCTGCTCTCTTCCTGTCTCCATTTCTCTTTTTATATCTTAAGCATAAAACAGCTCCTTGTTCTCCTTAATGTCTCCATCCTTCAAGATCATAAAAACAGAATCGTGGTTAAGAAACAGGAAAAAAAAAGTTGGACACAACATGAAATCTAGGGATTATATGTATTTCCTCAACACTAATGTGGTGTTTGCAGGTTTCTCCTTCTCAGTTGTTTTTGCTAGGAAGATGCTGACTGCTCCAGCCAGATTCCTGTCAGAGGTTGTGTTTGGAGGGTTTACAAAGAAAAGCTTCCAAGGGCTTAGTGCTGAATTTCAAAGAGGATAGCCGGAGAGTGGGTCTGGATTCTCAGCATGGAGGATGCCAGATTGAGTCTTGGGAAAGGCTATGGACATATTGGGTCCCAGGCAGAGACTTGTAACAGGGAGAAAGCCTCCACAGAAAATCCCTGCCAGGGCAATGTCTAGTAGAGCCATGAAAGTGAGGCAGCCTGGGAGCCCACAGAATTGTAGGGCCAGCAGCATGCAACTCCAGCCTGGGAAAGATGCAGGCACAAGATTCCAACCCATGAAGGCTTCTGGGTGAAGTCAGCCCAGTAAAACCATAAAGGTGAGACTGCCTGAGGCATTGGTTAACCAACTCCCACCCCAGATTGCCCCAGATATGAGACTTGAAGTCAAAGATTATTCTCCACCTTTAAGACTTAACATTGTTTCTCCTGTTGGGTTTTGGTCTTACATGGGATCAGTTAACCCTTTCTTTTTATCTATCTCTCTTTTTTGGAATGAGAATGTTTATCTTATGCCTACTCCACCATTGTACAGTTGTCTCTCAGTATAAGATAAATATTCAAGTCCTGCAGTCAGCTCTGAAGAACCCGCAAATACAAAAAGTATGCCCTCTGCATCTGTGGATTCTGCATCTGCTGAATACTCGATTTTCTATCCATGGTTGTTGAATCTGGATGTGAAACCCATAGGTATGAGGGCCAATTGTATTTTGGAAGCATGTAACTTGGTAATTCACAGGCCTTGTAGCTGAAATAAATTTGCCTGGGATAAACAGTGCCTCGAATCTCACCCATATGTGATTCAGATGAGGCTCTGGACTTTGAACTTTTGAGTTGATGCTGGACCAAATTGAGACTTTAGCTGCTATTGGGATAAAATGAATGTGTTTTTCATGTGAAAAGGACATGAGCTGGAGAGAGTAGGGTGGAATGCTGTGATTTGAATGTATCCTCCTCAGTTTATTTGTTAGAAATTTACTCCCCAATGCAGCAATGTTGAGAAGTGGAAACTTTTAGAGGTAATTAGGTCACTAGAACTTTATCCTCATGAATGGTTAATGTTATCATGATAGGAGTAAGTTTGTTATAGTGAGAGTGGGTTACTTATAAAAACAAGTTTGACCCCTTCCTGCTCTTGCTCACTCTGTCTTGTCTTTCCACCATGGAGATGCAGCCAGAAGGACCTTGCCAGATACCTGCACCTTGATACTGGACTTTCCCACCTCCAGAACTGTGAGAAATAGATTTCTACTTTAAAAGATACATTACCCAGTTTCACGTATTCTGTTATAACAGCACAGGCTGAAACAACTATGTTATCATGATTTCTTTTCAGAGTCAACATTCCCCTATTTTGTCCAAAGGGAGCCGCATTCAAACTAGTTCCTAATAACTTTTTCTCTTACCCCATCATTTTCTGAGCACTTCCTTAGTTTCTGACACAAGAAGTGCAGGGTTCATCTTACATTTTTTGTGTTTTAAACCTGAGATCAGCTATTTTTCCAATAATTATTCCTTTTAATAGAGATTTATATTCAATAAAACAAGATTTGGGCACTAAAGGTGTTTATTGAGGCTTATGTGTTACTGCTTCTGGGAAAAATTACCTATCGATCTGCATTTGTTTTAATCTATATCTGTATAAAACCATCCAAAAATTGGTGAATCTACCTTAATGTCTCTAATTACAATCCAAATCTACACTTTCTCCCTTTTTATATTTGTAACTTTTTTTTCCAAACTGAGAATCTTGGCTGTAATTATTCATACCATATTTACTTAAATGATCAAACATTTTGTGTGACACCAATTTCCTACTGTCCCTGTCACCCGAACTCTCCTTGCAGACAACTTCCCTCTTATGCCTCACACACCTTCATTAGCCTCGATACTCTGTGCCAGCTCACCATGAACTTTGAACCCCTGCATAGGTGCCCTTTTCCCCCCTGGGCTCTGACATTAGCAACTGTGGCCGCCACCCCTGTGACTGTCCTACTCATCCTCATTCAGTTGTGACGTCCTGCACAAGTGGGATGAAGGGTCTTGCATCCTGCACACCCAGGTAGGGATACTTGTCTCTGCTATCTATAGCTTCAACACCCAGGTGGGCTTTCCTCTCCACCCCACCACATGGGTGCACTTTCTATACTGTGTAGGCTCAGTATCCCATACAGTTCCCTGAATTTTTGTTGCATAGTTTTCTTTCTGAACTGCTCAGGTCAAGTGCCCTAAATCCAGTCATTAAGAACTGCTGTCTCTTAGGAGCTGGAAGAGATTGGTGATTTGGAAACATGCAGGTATAAAGAACAGAGTAGACACAGGGATAGAGGGTGAGCACTTGGTTTAGAGGACACCTCACCTTCTGAAGGGGAATGGCTTGGATAAGAGAAATAAAAGGCATAAATAGAATTCAGGGAGCATGGGAAACATCTAGCATGAGACTGTAGGATGGCATACAGAGCTAGAATATAGCTGAGAACTTTCAGAAGTAAAGGGAGAAAATTTTTCATGTTGCCTGGCCTAGATGGAAGAGGTGGGAAAGAACATTCAGATATGGAGGATGACAATTATGTCTGGAGGTGGCAGATGAGCTATGCCAGATCGTCAGTGGCAGGACCCTTCCCTGCTTTGGCACTATTTTCAAGTATTAGGTTTTTTTTTTAAGTTTTTTATTTCTTTATAAATGAGCAAATCTATCTATCTATCTATCTATCTATCTATCTATCTATCTATCTATCTATCTATCTATCTATAATTTGTGATTATACTTTAATGCATCCATTGCTGGTAGCACTGACAATTTACAGCACTGGGGGTTCCAGGGAATTGGACCAAAAAGGAAGTCTTTCTGACCTTAATAATAATCACTAGTATCAAATGCAAGAAACTTCTAAAATTTCTTGAGTTTCTAGAGATGTTTTTCCCTAGCAGACCTCACCATAAATAGAAAGCTAGAAAGAGAAGCGTGTCATGAAACATGAAGAGAGCAAAAGAACACTCCACACATAGGACAGTAGGCTGATTCTGTCCTGTAGCCCACAGGGAGAAACACAGGCTCTGCAGACTTTGGACACCTGGGAGGCACTGGGCCTGTGCAGTGTTATTGAGATAAGTCATCTTTGCAGCTGTGCAGATTTGCATGCCCCACAGAGCAACGCCTACAGCCCTGAGCATTTATCAATAGGCTGGTGACACCCTGTGCAGAAGTCTCTCTCAGTCCGGACACAGCATGGACATGAGGGCTTCAGCTCAGCTCCTGGGACTCCTGTTGCTCTGGCTCCCAGGTAATGAGGGAAACAACAAAAATTTTACTCAGCCAGTGTAGTCATTAATGCCTGGCACTTCAGGAAATTCTTCTTATAGCATTATTAATCATGTGAATATGTGTTTTTATGTTTCTAATATCAGATACCAGATGTGCCATCCAGATGACCCAGTCTCCATCCTCCCTGTCCGCATCTGTAGGAGACAGAGTCACCATCACTTGCCGGGCGAGTCAGAGCATTGGTAGTAATTTAGCCTGGTATCAGCAGAAACCGGGGAAAGTTCCTAAGCTCCTGATCTATGCTGCATCCACTTTGCAATCAGAGGTCCCATCTCGGTTCAGCGGCAGTGGATCTGGGGCGGATTTCACTCTCACCATCAGCAGCCTGCAGCCTGAAGATGTTGCAACTTATTACTGTCAAAAGTGTGACAGTGCCCCTCCCACTGTGATACAAGCCCGAACATAAACCATGGAGGGAAGTAGATGTGTGAGGCTGGGCTGCCCCAACTGCTTCCCCTGGTGCCGCCGACTGCTGACAGCAGTTCTCAGATGCAGCCAAGGTTTGAAGGGCACCAGAAAGTTTTGGTAGAAGGGGTCAGGGAGGCACATCTACGTTCTATCCCTCTTTATCCTCAGCTCCATCAGTTGATATGCAAATGTCTCTCCTGATTATTATTAATAAAGGTCAAATAAAATTACACCTAGGAGGTCTAGATTGCAGCATAAGTCAGACTTATACAACAAAGGAGAAGGTACTCTAAATATTTTAAAAGGATTTTTTTTGATACAAGGGATTAGAGTCTAAACTAAGATCTTTCGAAGATCAGACATAAGTTCATACACATGTAAGTATGTTCAGCCAACAACATATCAAATAAACATATTGCACCTATATGTATATTGTAAACATTTATGTTCTGATCCCACCTTCTTCCAACACTGCCCAGATTAAGATCCACACTCTTCTCAGCATCTCAAATGTCTCCCCAGGTCACTTCCCTGTCAATTCCATGTTCCATCTATCATCATACTAGGTCTCTGCTGTATTTTATATCAATATTTATTAATTTTTGCTATACTTAAGCTTTATGTAATTGCAATCATATGGTATTTACTCTTTGATGTTTTGCTTATTTTGATCAAAATATTTTTTAGCTTCATCTGTGTTGTTTCTTTCACAGTCATTTATGCCTTTTTATTGAGGAATAATTTTCTATGACTATACAAAAATATATTCATTTTTCAACTAATGATTTGTTTTTGGTTTGAGAATATTATTGATAAAAATATTAAGAACATTCTTGCACTTGTATTTTGTGGACTTATGCACTCATTTCTCTTGGGAATATTCGTAAGAATGGAAGTGCTGAGTTAGCATAGATTCTGTCTTAGTAAACACTGACAGTAGTTTACTGAAATGCTGAACATGTTACACGAAACCAACCACATGTAATAAAAGTCTCAGTTGCTGTCCATCTTTTTCAGTACTTAGTACTGTCAAACTTTTTATTATATCTAGTGTGGAGGCCAAAGCAACGCCATCTTGGATGCTAATTTGCCATGTCTGACTTCTGATTAACATGAGTTCTGGGACGGTCTCTAAGATTTTCAGTTTATCTATTGTTTCTTATTTAAGAGCAAGTACTTAGCATAAATCCTGCCCTTAAACAGCCTTGATGTAATCATTCTTTGATTGTCGTACACATCCTTTCTGATCCACTGATTTCCTATGGTATACAAGCCCTATTTGAGAGGGGTCATGGCAAGTGATTGACCATCTTATCTCCCCACCGTCAGAGACACAGACATGGCTTCTGTTTTTAAGTCTCTATTACATGTTTCTGAGAAACTGGATGTGTCAGCCTCTTCCTTCAGCCTTTCAGCTTCCTCAGGCATTGTGGTCAAGTTTGCATACATCTGCCCTGTCATGTGCGCTTCAAGATCAGAGCTAACCAGACCCATGAATGTTTATGTCTTTCCACAATGTCAGACTTTTACTGATGCTATTTCAAACACAGAAGCTACAAGCTACATGCAGCTCCCAAGGAGTCATTTGATGGTCAGTGTCGTGGGCACACAGGCTAAAACCACTGCACAAGCTGGTCAATATTGCAAACCATACATAATAGTATTCTTAATCAATACACAAACATTGTAAGTGAAACTTTACACAACAAACAATGTAATATTTAACAACAAAAGAAAAAACTAGGAGAAAGAGTTATCAAATCAGTCCAGGGATAGTGAAGAAGACAAAACGAATCCTGGTCTGGCCTGAAGGTCCCTCCGTCCTTGCAAGGAAGAGTCTCTGATGTGGCAGAGCCACATGATCTGCCTAAGATGAGGAGTTCTTGTCACAAGTGACAGTGGGATGGCTGTCAATTAAGATGGCCCTTTTGAGATACTGACAGCCTGCACTTTCATGGTCACAGAGTCCTCCGGTGAGAACTCATAGTGGAAGAGTGTGCTTGTCTGTGAACTTATCTGGTTGAATGCAGCCTTTATTTTTATTTTTTTATTTTTTGGGCAAAATATTTTATTCTTGTTGGCAAGCTGCCCTATGAAACATATAATGCAGTCTTTATCTGAGATGGAGTTAATTATGTCAAAGTTGCACTATACATATCGACCGCAAAACATCTGTATTGATAAATCTGAAGTTGTATCATGATTAAAGTTTATACTTCCTTAATAGATAATGATGTTGAGTCACTTTTCATATATTTATTTTCATTGGCTGTTTGTATATCTTTAGGGAATTTCCTGTTCAAATCGTATGAGTGTCTGTGTGTATAATGTTATATTAATCATATACATATATATGATTAGTAGTTCTTAATTATAATGTAATCTTATTTGCCATTTTACTTGTCATTTTTTTCTCCTGTGTTTGTTTTGTGCGTTACATGTGTCCTCTGTTTAATAAATTTTTACCACCAAAGAGCTTAAAGATATGCCCCTATACTTTCTTGTAGAAGCATCATTATTTTACCTCTCACATATAGGCTATACTCTACCTCTAATCATATTTTTGCCTGGGGTGAAGTGGATCAAGAATTTTATTTTGGTGTCTTATTTTTCTTTTCACAATCAACAACTCACCATTTCTCGCAAAAATAGAGCAAAACAAAACAAACAAACAAAAAACCTGAGAAACAACCTATACTTCACTCTATTGCCTGTGTTTAAAAATCACATGATTGTGTATAAAAGAATCTTTTTCTTGACTCTTTGTCTATCTCTGTACCTACACTATACCCACCGTCTTAATTACTGTGGCTTTATTATAAAGAAAAAAAATAAAGTCGGAAGACATAATACCAGATTTTTAGACTTAAGATTTTCTTGGCTATTCTAGGTCCTTTGAATTTCCACAAAAATTCTAGAATCGCATTTTCAATTTCAAAAATAACTTTGGGGATTTTAATTGGACTGCACTGAGTGTACAGATTAAATCAGAGAAAACTGAAATCTTAACAATATCAAATCTTCTGCTCTATGAGCATAAAAATACTATTTATTTATATCTCCTTTAATCCACATTGTATGCAGAGACCTTGATAAGTTATTATTTCTAGCCATTAAGTTTTAGATTAAGAACTTATGTACAAATTTTATCAGCAAATACAGACGTTTTGCTTATTTGTTTCCAAACTCCATGAATTTTGTTTGTTTATTTGTTTTGAATTTTTGCATGTCTTAGGACCTCCATTGTAATTTTGTATAGTGGATGGTTCAGTATTTTTTACAATTTGAAAAGTAAAATGTTTAATATTTTATCACTAAGCATGATGTTTGCTGTAGAATTTCCTGTACTGCTTCTCAATAATTCTAAACCTCAGTAATTCTAAAGGTGAATTATTTGTAGATGCTTCACAAAACAAGGTGCTTTTCCATTATTCCTGGCTTGCTGAGAGTTTTATCAGAAATAACTGTTGACTTCTTTCAAGTGATTTTCAGCTACTGTTGGGATAATAAAAGTTACTGTTCTTCATTCTGTCAATATGATACATTATATGGATTGATTATGTAATGTTATAATAACCTTGCACTTCTGAAATATATTCAAGTTGGGCATGGCAGATTATCTGAGAGAGATGGAGGTAAATCTTCCCTTTATTTTGAATGTTTAAGTCTATGCTTATGAGAGATATTGACATTTAGTTTTTCTATTTGAAATGTCCTCAATAGTCTTTTGATCTTATCACTCTTATTGTGCAGTTGTCAACATAACTAATCAAACTAGACAATGAGAGATTAGAACATGAGCAACATCATTCTTAAGGCTCCTTGTGGTTATCAAGATGCTGGAGGGGATAGAGAGATAAACCTGAGAAATATTTCAGTGAGAGAGTTGATGGGACTGAAGTCTGCACAGCAGACAGCAGTTGATTTTTAAAAACTGCTTATATGTGCGATTATATTTTCCTTTATAATTTTTACCCTTTACTCTGTGTGTAGAAAAGCATATGTTATCCTGCTCTACTAGGGCATTTGTGTTTTCATTTCTTTTTATAAATCTGAAATTCATGTTTATTTGTGAATTATCGCTTTGCTTAAACATTTTATACAACGCTGTTCTAGCAAATTGAGATTTTAGAGTACTATGCTGCTGATATTGAATGGCGAATATAAACATAACCACTAATAGTAACTTATGATCTAAATAGAATACATACTGGTTGGAGTGGGGAAATTGTGCATATCATGAAGGAAGGACAAGCATTAGAAATAAAGGAAATATTTTCTAAGATATTTGATAGCTTAGGAAATATCATTTCATAACACTTGTATTTTCAGAAAAATATTTGAGATGTTTGTGTTCTATTTCTGAATTAGATGCCAGAGTAATCACTGTGCTGACTCAGCCTCTGGTCTCCAAAAACAACTGGATCAGTTAGGGCTGAGCAGTGACTCAGTCTGGTATTAGCAGAACTCAGTTTAGTACCTGTGATTCTTACTGTGTACCCGCCTGTCTGACTTCACCCTGACTCAGTGGAGTTGGTCTGAGACAGACGCCTTGCTCACAGTTAGGACCCGAAGGCTGAGGACACTGCACAGTACCACTTGTGTCAGTCCTCCTCACATGACATTGCAGGTCAGGATGTGACCTGCTGTGATGTTGACACTTGAGAACAGCATGCACCACTTCTCAATAACTCTAAATCTAGATAATTCTAAAGATGGACCATTTGTAAATATCCAGAGTGCATATCAGAACAAAGAGCGCCAGGCACCAGCCTACAAACACCTCTTTTGGTTTCTAACTACTCATGTATTTTGGTTATTTCTTGCCCAAGATCTCTTTGCTCTTAAAACCCTAGACTTTTTATTAACAACTTTATCATTATGTAAATCAAACAGCATATAACTCAACAATTTATATTGTACAATTGAATGGTTTTTAGTGCATTCACAGAGGTGTACAGTCATCACCACAATCAATTCTACAACATTTTCATGACACTCGAAATAAATCTTGTGCCCATCAGCGTTACTCACCTTATCCGCCACCATCTCATAGCCCCTGCCTCAGGCAATC